AGCAAAGCTTGACAGTGAATTTCTGGGCCAATCGAGACTGAGGCAGACTGTCAGCTGACTGACCTTGGAAGGATTTCCTCAGAGTGGCTATAATCAACAGCATCTCAGAACTATGAAAACCACTTGACCAGAACCCTCAGAACATGTTCCACAATGGGGACCCTGGGATGACATCGGGTGGCTGTTCCCCATCCCTAGGTACTAAGGTGCTTGGGAGACTTGGCGTGGATTCTACCCTTGTATCTCCCACCCCTTCCCCCAGATACAGGAAAAGAAAATGTGTAAACAATTGACTCACCCAGCTTCTGATCCTAGATCCTTTCCACCCTGAACAACTATGTAAACATCAACCCCCCCAAAACTATGTAAATATCAAGCCCCCCAAAGAACATTTGGCTCAGTAAGTAGCTAGATCCCACCGGTGCTGTTGGATCTCTGCTCCTGGGGAAGTCTTCCAAATTACATTCATTCTGTGGCGATTCCTGGCCTCAGCACTCCTGGAACCACCTACCCATATTGCCCCTTTCAGGTATTTAGTTTTGAATTCCCTTGTTCTATCCCTTTCTATCTTTTCTTTCCTTCACAGGAAAGCACCCCAATCTGCATTGGGGCCCCCGCCTGTGGTATCTAGGTGGCTTCAGGATGACAGTGAGGTGACTGCTAATTGCACTGGTTACTGTGATCGGGCTTGGTCCCCTTCATCTCCTGTGTGGACTTCTGAGAAATGACTAGTTTATTGCCAACTGTGTAAATTTGCAATTATTTTTTTTAAATGTAATGAGTGTAGACATGTATAAAGTGCATTTCTGTAGATGTGAATTACTGACTTTCCTTATTTTTGCTTTATATAACCCAATGAAAACATACTGATCAAATTTTTCTCTGCTGATAACCATATCTGTCGCCTGATGCTAACACTGAATTTTCTGCATCTATACATGTATCAGATTTATTTGGGAATGACTACACTTGTCAGATTTTGATAACCTTACCTTGTTCTACTGTAACAATTTTGAGGTGTCTTGGCCTAAAGGTATTCACTTGTTAATATTAGTGTTGATGAGAATGAGCATTCGGGGTTTCAGAAAACTTCATGTCTTGACTGCTTTGATTTTTCTCTTAGCTACTCTTTATTTTGCATAATTTCTACTAAAGGCAAAGGTGTGACACACTAGGAAAAGGAAGTTATTTTCTGCATGCGATGTAACTGCATATAATAATAACCCAAAAGATTCCCTTAAAAATAATAAGTAGACACACTTCAGTGAACTGGGCACAAAATACACAGAAAAAGACTCGCATATGAAATCAGAGATGCTAAGGGGAAATCAGAACAATCTACAGAAATGCTCTAATTAGCAGATGTATGTATATAAAAAGGATACAACACAGGGACATACAATGTTTTCAAGTACATGTATTTATACTGTACCCGCATAAGCAAGTTTCTAGACAGAATGATGTTTACTCATTTCTAATTTTAGTCATTTCAGGTTTTAATTTGAAAGTAAAAAAGATTCCAGCAGGAATTTACAAGTCACAAAGGCATCTTAGAAGTTACGGTGGAACAGTATAGACAAGCAAAAAGTAAGGGTAATGAGGGGAGCGGACTCGACTCAAGGCTCCCCAGCTATCAAAACATTTTAGAAAGCATGACATCAAAATAAATTGGATTATGATACAAGAAGAGACTGGCAGATTAACAGGATAAAGAGGCAAAAACAAATCCAAATACCTACTGGAACTTAGCTTATTGTAAAGTTTACATTTAAAAGTGATACGACAAAGGTAGGTTATTACGTATCTGGTACAAGACAAGTGTGTGACCATCTGTGAATAACACCGTGTCCCTGCCTAACTCAGTGTGAGACCCCCAAACTCTGAGTAAGCCCAATACTTAAATAAAACATAACCATAAAAAAACAAACGTTAGGGATTTTAAAAAATATAGTGGAGTGGAAAAAGAAGATTCATAAACATAACACCAAAAACAGAAGCCAAACAAATCCAGATGGGTAAATTTACCAACTGAAACTTCTAAGTGGAAAAAAATAACGAACTCTTGGGAAGGAAAAGTTAGTATCTCATATGTGGAGGTCTGAAAAGGCAATTAGAAAAATACCACTCAACAAAAAATGGCATTAAAACACATTTCACAGAAAATTTAAATAGTATTTACAAATAAGAAAATGCATAGTAGGGAAAATGCAAACTACATGTTATAAAAATGCAAATTAAAAGTATAGTAACACTTCCCACTAACAGACCAGCAAGAATTTAGAGTTTACAAAACCGTTTCAGCGTTAAGTATAAGGGTAATTCAAAAAGTTTGTGGAAAAATGGAATTAAAGTTTATTTTGGTGCAAAAAAAAGTTATTTTTGAAATCCTTGCATAGTTTCTTTTCATAATACACATTTTCCACAAACTTTCTGAAAACCCCTTATATAGAGAGATGGGCATTCTACTACTACATTGTAGGAAGGAATGTAAATTAGTAGAACTAAACAAAGGCAATTTGGCCTTACTAAAAATGCACAGAGGCACTGACCCAGCAAACTCACGGCAGATACACCTTTGATACGTTATTTGCATACAGACACTAGGTAATATATACAAGGATAGTCATCTCGTGTTTATTTCAAAGGATAAAAAAACAGGTACCTCAGTAAGGGTCCGATTCCGTTAACTGTGGTACAGGACTCCAAGATAACACTATGCAGGCAGAATACAAATGCGGAAGCTGTACATTCTTTACACACCTCGCTTTCTATCCTGTCATGCCCTCTTGGGAATCACATTTTTTTTTTTTTTAAGAATGTGTAGCATTTATTCACCAAAAAATTACCCCACTATCTGTCAACTGTTACTTTAAAAGGCTATATTAAAATTCCACTTGCAACTTGGTTTTTGCTAATCGATTCTCCCTTTGATTCTGTAAAATTCCTCTGCTATCGTCTGAGGATAGGTGATTGATTTCAGCTTCCTGGGAACACTTCCTACCAGACACTACAACTGCATTCCAGAAGTTACCAATCGTGCGCATGCACTTCCACGGAGATATTTTCATCTAGCAATGGTTACTCAGAGGTGTTATCTAAAAGCATATTTGCAAACATGGCAACTATTGTTTGTCCTTAAAATCTTTTCTTGAGGGTATATTTCCTTGTCTAGCATCTCATCAGTGTAACTTTTTTTATCCTTTTAATCTCAATCCTTTTGTGAAATTATGTTCTAAGTGACTTGTAAATAGCATATTATTTTAAGTAAAAAAAAATCAACTATAATAACCAGTCCATATAGGTTACGAGTTTTTTTAATTACTAACAAAGTTACCTCACTATATGATCCTTCCAACATGCCTATTCTCTATTTTTTCTGCCTTTACTTGTATTCTCATTTCCCTTCCTTCTTGCAATGCTATCATTGTCCTATCCCCTTTTTCACTTTTTTGCAAAGGTCACTTAACCTTGTCGAAGGAACTAACAAGCTTTTTGTAACTTTTCCTTCAAAATTTCCTTGAAAAATGCAATCTCCTATTTTCTAAAGGTCATTCCCTTGAAGAAAGTTTATTCAACTTTCTACAGGTTCATGAATCACAAACATATATTCTCATAAAATAAAGTTTAGATATTTCAAACTAAATTGAAATATTACAAAACACTTCACGATATTAAAAAATGGACTGCCTGAATAGTCTACCTTTCCATTTGCATTGTTGCATTTGTCTCATTTTTCCTATTCATGGTAGGCAAGACCTAGTCTATAAATCAGCTCGTCCGAAACAGCTTTTATATTAAGTCCACTGTTTACTCATTTAATTTCCTCTAAGCACTCATTTCAACCCACTGAATAAACTGATTTACATGCTACAGTTCCAGTGTTCATTCTGGGTTTATTGCTTTTCTGCTTGAAAGCTTATCCAAAACATCTAGAGAGCTTGGGTTTCATTTTGTAGACTGCTCATCATCTTTCATAAATAAACAGCCTTTCATTTTAGGCTGCATTTGTCACGTGGTCCAGGAGTTACATAGCGAGAGTAGTGTTTTTAAAGTACAAAGTTTCTTTAAAACTTTCAATTGTGTCTAACTGTCTTGCATTATTGTAAGAAAATGTACATTGCTTTTTGAAATCTATAGACGTTACTTTTTTGTATCAGCGCTATTAAAAAAATTCAGTCTTTTCAGAATGAATCTTATGACTTCAACTTACATAAGCTTAAATAAGTATTGCCTCATACTTGCTACATGCTAATTTTGTTCCAGAATAAAACATCCTAGCTTTGATATTGGATAAGCTGGGATGGTAGTAGAGTTCCCTGTATTATTCACAGGCTTAAATCTTACATGAATGTTCCAAAAGCAGTAACAAAGAGATGATACTATAGTTTCTTCTTGCCACTAAGTTGAAATCAGTAACCTGACAGTTTTTTTTTTTAAGTACTTGGCAATAAAATACAGGTGGCAAATGGCAAAGCTACAAAGGTGTTGCAAAAGACTCGTGTTACAGGTAAGTTTTTCTACATTCAGAAAGTCAGCATGGTTATTCTCTAGTTATGATATTAATCATCATTATTGTTTTAGTGGTAACAGAATATTTAGTGTTTTATTTCTTTCCTGTAGAATTTCTGATAATGAATTATAAGTTATAAAGCAGAAGAAATTTATAGTCACTGGATTTTCTTTTATAAGTCTGCTGTTCTATAATAGCTAGTTAAATTCAAGGGTTTCCTACGTTAAGCGTATCATAAATTCTATATATTCACTGTGGTATAAGGGTAGGTCTTTATACATACCTCACTTTTGTAAGGCTTATCAGCACAAATTCATTATTTAAAAGGATAGCTGAAAGACCGATGAAAGTGTTTCGATCATTTCTTAATTTCTAAGGTTTCTTTCCAATACGAATTTGGTGGTGCTGAGTAAGGATTCACTCAAATGTGAGCACGCTAGGATGCCTACCTCAGAATGTGTATTCTCTGATGCTTTTTCACTTGTGAAACAGAAGTAAAGGCCTTCCCACAATCCTTACACTTATAGGGTCTCTCACCAGTATGAATTCTTTGATGCTGAGTGAGATGGGCCCTCTGCCTAAAGGCCTTCCTACATGCCTGGCACTCAAAGGGCTTCTCCCCAGTGTGAATTCTCTGATGTTGAATAAGAGTTGAGCAATCAATAAAGGACTTCTTACATTCTTTACACTCGTATGGTTTCTCCCCAGTGTGAATTCTCTGATGTCTATTAACGTAGGAAACACAAGCAAAAGCCTTCCCACACTCCTTGCATTCATATGGCTTCTCGCCAGTGTGGATTCTCTGATGTTGGGTAAGGTGTCCTCTCTGCCTAAAGGCTTTCCTACACTCCTGACATTCATAGGGTTTCTCATCAGTATGAGTTCTCTGGTGTTGAATATAGGTTGAGTAACAGAGAAAAGCCTTTTCACAATCTTTGCACTCAAAGGGTTTCTCACCTTTGTGAATTCTCTGATGTTTGTTCAAGTTTGAAAGCCAAGTAAAGGCCTTCCCACATTCATTACACTCATAGGGTTTCTCACCACTGTGAACTCTTTGATGTCTGGTTAAATTTGCACTCTGCCTGAAAGTCTTCCTACATTCCATACATTCATAGGGTCTCTCATTAGTATGGATTCTCTTGTGCTGAATCAAGGTTGAGAAGCAGATAAACGATTTCCCACATTCTTCACATTCATAGGGTTTCTCACCAATATGAATTCCATTATGTTGGGCAAGGTAGCTATGACCTCTAAAGGTATCTCCACATAACTGATACTCATTATTATAATTTGATAGGAGTTGATATTGACTAAGTGGAAAGTCATAAGCAAAGTCATTGTTATCCTGAAACTCCTCATATTTTACTCCAGGAACACTTTGCTCATGTTTCATGTGATCTGTGTAAAACATAAAGTTATTCTCACACCTTGGGTTAAGTTTGTCATTGTTATAGATTCTTACATACTGAGTCAGGTTTTCACAGAGTTTACATTCATAGAGCTTCTCTCCACTCTGAAGGATCTGACTTAGACCGTATGGTGCAGGTGGGATAAAGTCAGATGATGTCTCCTCAGCTGATGTATCTTCAAATGGTTCAATCACGTGCTCCAAAATTTCTTCCTTAATTTCCGGTTGTGTCTCAGCGTTTTCGTCGTATTCCCAAACATTTTCAAAGCAAGATTCCTCAAGGCAAGAACTTTCCATTACTTTCCACTTTAATGGTGTTTTTTCAAAAGCGTCATTGTTTAGCGATACCTCCTCAGTCTCATACCTAGAGGGCAATTCTAAAAACAAAATAAATAAATAAACTCACATTTTCCTCTTTTAGACGAAATGAAACAGCCTAGACACAGCATGCATAATTGGAATCCTTAATCAGATGAAGACAGACTTCAAACTTACTTATATTGCCAAAGATGATATAACCATAAAGGGGCATCTTATAAGGAAGGTATAGCAATTGGAAATGTATAAGTGTGGGCTCGGCCCAGTAGCCTAGTGGCTAAAGTGCTTGCCTTGCACACACTGGGATCCCATATGAGCACCAGTTCATATCCCGGCTGCTCCACTTCCCATCTAGCTCCCTGCTTGTGGCCTGAGAAAGCAGTCAAAGATGGCTCAAAGATGGCTCTCCATGCACCCACATGGGAGACCCAGAAGAAGTTCCTGGCTCCTGGCTTTGGATTGGCTCAGCACCAACTGTTGGAGCTACTTGAGGAGTGAACCAGCAGATGGAAGATCTTTCTGTCTCTCCTTCTCTCTGTAAATCTGACTTTCCAATAAAAATAAATAAATCTTGAAAAAAAAACCACGTAACATAGAAATCACTTGAAGAACTGACTACTAGAACCCACAAACATAATCAAAAGCTAGGTTGCTGAGATCTTCAAGCTTGATAAATCCCTTGGCCAACCTGATCAGGAGCATAAGAGAACACAAATGTCAGGGACAAAAGTGTCATTAATCCTACATAAGTAGTAAAAATGAAAGATGAGCCATCTTATATCTATAAAAATATGTAAAATTCCTAACTATATACAAACTATAGATCACACAAGAAACAAATAATAAACAAATTGTATACCAATTACAGAAGCTTTATTCATAGTAAAGATATCACTCTCCTGGCAGACAGGGCTTGAACTGGTGAATTCTACCAAGTTGTCAAGGAAAAATACTAATTCTACTCAAAGTCTTTCAGAATAAAGAAGTCACTATCAACTCATGGCAGAAGGGCAAGTTTTTACTCCTAAAGCAGTTAGAACACATTTTCAGCATCAATACTAGTGCAAAAAGTTTTTACTAGCAAATACATTCCCATATATACAATAAACAAGACTCAGTAGCGTTTGCTTCACGAATACATGTGGGCTTAAAACGCAAGTACCAATGAATGTAACTCAACATACTTTGAAACATCTTCAATAATGAAATACTGAAATTTTTCCTGTTAGATCAGAGACAATATGTGTGATCAATAGTGGCTATTATCCTAATTTGGTGATGATTGTACAAGTACAGTCATACACTCAAGTCTATCAGCTTGTATACTTTAATACATTCAGTTCTGTGTGGGGGGGCGGGGAGGGAAGCCAAACTGCTATTTGTCCCCATTTTTCAGTTTTTCTTAAGCCTCTGAGAGAACCTATCCTACAGCACTTTAGGACAAGTACATCACCGCTCTGCCCCGTGCGGGCTTCCCAAAGTGCACCCCGTGCCCCTAAGCCGCACTCACCTGGATACCACTCGGCCTTCTCCACCCAGGGCTCTTTCCCTTGCTCCAACAGGGAAATCACTGCTGGCTTAGAAATGGCAAGTCCTGCTCAAAGAAACAGGATATTAAAAATATGTAGACCAAAACCTACTGTGACTTAGAGCTGGTTGAACCTAAAGCAAATTCAGTTTCCTCAGAAGAATGATGGAAACAGAAAATCACCATTTGGCAAACACCAGCGTAAATGATTATTGCATGCAGGAATCATCAATGAAAACTAAAATAAGTGAGGAAAAGTATCACAAGAAAGAGAATATTTGTAGAGTTTCAAAGTACTTCACAACAAGCTACTTACTGTTTGCAAAAGTAAAAGTAGTGGCTTTACAATGCGGAACCTAGAGGACGCCACTTTAACAAACAGATCAAAGTTAGCATCACCAGTAACAAGACATGTGGACATCATTTATCTCCTGATATGATGCACTGAAAAAGGGATAACATCATTTCTGTGGTATTCTTGCCAAAAACACATATGCTCAATCCAATCATAAAGTACCAGACACACCAATCCAGGGATATTCTATGCAATAACAGGCCAGTATGGTTCGTGAAAGAAAAAACTTCCAAGACCAGAGGGGACTATGCAGATGTGACGACTAAATGCAACGTGTGATCCTGGATCAGTACAAAAACCACTACCAGGACGGTTAATGACTTGAATATGTCGATATTTTGCCAATATTGTATTGTTTGTTCATTTTCTGGCTTACTCATTGTATGATGCGCACATAAATTGTTAATGCTGGGGGAACTGGCTGAAGAGTATGTGGGCACGTATTGTTCAGTCTAATTCTTAAAACTCGTTTTAAAAATGCTTTAAAAACAGGCCTCAGAAAAACTTCTGGGCAGAAGAATGAAGAGGTGGAAAACGTTCACATTAGGCTGACCGAAGGAATCAGACGACAAACGAGCAGGGTAAGTTTTATCTAAATTTATACGAGGGATCTATCTCTAGTTAGTTTGGTAAGAAAAACAAGCCACTTCGAGACATAATCAGTGATTCTTCTTTTCAAAGTCCTTTAATCTTAAAATTCGTAGATTGTAGCTTTCAAAAAAAAATGCCAGGAGATGAATCATCCTACATTTTCAATGAAGTTCTACTCCTAAATTCTATAGCTTGTTCCACAAACATCTCTCCATCATAATCCATCTCCTTAAACACCAAGAAGAAAAGTCCATTGCATAAAGAGCCAGGGGAAGCTGTCAAGGTTGGTGAAGAACAGGAAATATGAAAGTGCCTGAGAGAGGCACACTACTCCAACAAAACAAAGTTCAAACCAGGGTTTTAGAAGAGGGAACAGACACTCACATATTTAATGCGGCCCTAGAATTCCAGTGGAGAGAGCATTTCCTGAATTGCAGGGAGCAGGTGCACTTACCCAGTGATGCCAAGTTGCCGTAGTTCTCCAACATCACATCTCTGTATAAGTCCCTCTGAGCGGGGCCCAGGTACTCCCACTCCTCCTCCGAGAAGTCTATAGCGACATCGCTGAACAACACCAACTCCTGAAAGGAGAACTCCATGTAACAAATGTAATAAGCTGTATATATTCCACATGAGTAAGAATTTTAAAAAGATTTTTCTGGAAGACATTCTAGAAAAGCAATAGATTAGAACTGGGACCTTGGACCGTGGGGGATGGGAGATGAGAGAAGAAATTAATATTCACATGCTGGTGAACAGTCCTGGGCTGGGGAACGGAAACAACCTCCTGCTAGTGTGGGAAACTCGGAGTAATCCAAACATGATAGGGGCGATAGAAGGCAAAGAATGCAAACAATGCGCACACAAACCGAGCATTTCTATAAACATGCTGTGACTGCAGGGAAGGCTGGTAGCTTGGAGTTCAGACCCTATACATGCCAAAGAACGGGCCTCTGGCTGCTGGGAAATCATTTCTGAGCCCTTCAATATCTTGCTGATTTAAGTGTTTTTAGATGCCTGAGCCTTTGGGCACTATCGGCTTGACCTCAGAAGCAACCTGAGACTAAGTAGCTGAGGCCAGCCATGTGGACACTGCATGTACCCTCACGCTGGCTCTCCAGGCTGGGATCTTTCCCTGGGTGTCACACAATTAAACACATGCTCCTGCAACTCTCCAGTTTACAATGATTTCTCTTGGACTTTGACCCAAGCCTCTTAACCCTTTCCTGATTTTAATCTGTATCCTTCCAATGCAATAAACCACAAGTGTGAATATCACCAAATTCTGAGCCCAGCAAAAGCAGCCAGAGGAGCAGTGGGTGGTCTCGGGGACATGACTGGCATCACCAGTGGGACTTGCTAGAATAATCACGACTTATTGGAACAAAGCAAAAGCACTGCTGGGAAAACAGGAATGTGAGTGGAGGTTCACGAACTTTTGTACTGGGTGAATCCTAACTCAAGGACGGCATGAGACAGCAGCACTGTGCAGTGGATGGAGCTGTCACTTGTGCCAGCATTCCACACTGGAAGTCCAGTTTGGGTCCTGGCTACTTCCAGTCCAGCTTCCTACTGTTAAGTCTGAGGAAGGAACGGAAGATAGTGCAAGGACTCAGGGCCCTGCTACCCTCATGGGAGACCTGGCTGGAGCTCCTGCAGATATCTGCAGAGTGAATCACTGGGGAGGGGTTTCCTCTCCACCCTTTTTCTAGCATTGTTTGTCAAATAAATCTGTGTAGTTAGCCATGATCTATCAGAAATGGTAGATCCAAGGTAGTGTTTCATTAGACAGATACATGAAGAAAATAATGTGAAATAATGAGAAGCCAAAAAACACAATCCCTTGGTTGTTACCTACAGTGGCTAAAATCCAAGGGGATTGTGGGGAAAAGTCCTGCCCTGCACCAAGGTTAGATGTGTCTGGCCTGAAGTGTGGCCCGACTAGCAGCTCAGAGCTGCCACCACAGGGAACAATGGCACCGCCACAACCTATGAGCACCAAAACCCAGTCCAAGGGGGAAAAAGGAGAGTCCCAAACCAAGAAACTG